GTTTCATTCCGAGATAATATTGTTTATTAATTTTGCTGAAAATTATGTAGGTAAATGTCAACTATTTAAAGTTAAACATCATACAGCTGTTAACTGTCCACTGCTGAATATAGGCTTCCCTTATAAGAGGGAGTTTTGCCAGTAGTTGCCACGTTTGGCAAACGGGTTGGCAACCGTAGCAAGCAGTTATGTTTTAAGAGGGATTTGGTGATGTTTTAAGAGGGACGCGGACTTACGACGCGGCTTCGACCATTACGTTCCCTTAGTCGCTTCTTACGACACCTATAGGAAAGAATGGGGTGGCACATTCTATGCCAGAACCACTCGGTAATGCAGGTGGCTTAAGACCGTTCCTTATGGCAGTCTATGGGGAAGGTTTATGTTCAGTTAGTTCATCTTCATATTTTATAGTAATCAGATCATTATTTTTTTATTTTTAATGCTTTTATTTAAATACGTATATAATAAAATATATTAACAAACACATATTGCAACGTGAATGTGATCTATTAGTTTAATATCTGGATACCTTAAAATTTGTGGTCCATTATTTAAGCATTTTCAGGTATTCTATTGCGTTGGAATTTGGCACATCCACCTGTGTAACTTTGGCGACAATCCAATAAATAGCATAGTTTGATGATGAAATAGTAAGGTATATCGCATTTAATTTGTTCGATCAATTTGAGGGATAGACAGGTTCTGATCATGGAACTTGAATATTACCAGAAGGATTGAAATTATTATTTAAAAGCTTGTTTTAATACAATGTACTAGTAAATTAAATGCGCTTGTTATTTAAAGTCTTTAAAAGCAATTGTTTTTAAAAATTCACATAACAATGGATATTGCATCGAAAACTGGTAAAATGCATGTGTTCTGTTATAAAATTCATGGATCGATACATAATAGAAGTAACAATGCTTCGGGAACTGGGTTCATTTCATGTGAGCGTGCATGTTTGCATAGTGTACACGTCGATCCCGCATTATGTGATGTGGTCACGCACGGGACTATTATGATGTCGACAAAACCAACCATTTCTATTTCCGTTTAAAGGGATATGGCTGTGAAATTATAGAGTCTGGGAGTATTATGCTTTAGTTTACAAGAATGCCAACGCATGAGGGCTACTATGGGCATTACAGTATATTATGTGGTAATCTGATTAAGTCTATAGGCGATGGTTACTACTTTCTTTCAGATAGTTGTAAGTTGCATTAAGTCATATTGATCTTCAGGAACAATTTTTTGGGTTTATATACTATGCCGAAAATAATGGCAGTCACATAAGGTTACTTGGTAGAGTTTGCTATTAAGAGTTAAAGCCGCACATTGTTGCCTCTTTATCTTGCTTTTTACTTATAAGTTATTACGTTTATGTAATTAATTATTTATTTTGTTTATGTAGTGTGTTGTTTATAATCTGTATCATTCTTTGAAGTGAACAATAAGAGTTTTCATTCATTAATTCATTCGTATCTGGTATATTTTTTAATTAACACCTAATGCTTTGGATGACTGCAACATAGTATTATATTATCACTAGACGCTGGACAGCAGTAGTTTAATGTGCTATAATCCTGGAGCTTCAACTGAAAAGTGTCGTATTATGTCATTTTAGCACACAACTCACGTGCCGCCGCTGCTCACTAGTGGCACACACTGCATACCTGATTGTAGAAGTTGTTCGCACTTCCATATAAATACATTATAAAATAATAAAAAAAGGTCACAGTTCCCCTTTTTCAGTTTTGGCACGTTTTATAAGCCTTGGATACTATCGTACAAATATAGCGGTAGCTACTTATCACTGCTATATATATTTTTTTCTTAAATATTTGTGTTAATCTTATAAAACGTAAAAATAGGTTTGTTTACCTCTGATGTCTCAATTATTTATTATAAAGTTTAATTTACACATTGAAATATTTGGAATTGAGGAAAAATTTTTATCTAGATCATTTAGTAAGTTCCTATATGCAGACGTTGCAAATTTAATCATTAAAAAAATATATTAAAAATAATAAAACTAGTAAAAGGAAATTAGCTTTTATGGTTTAATGGTAATAATAATGAAATAAATAATACAATATGTAACTTTAAATTAAGTCCATTAAATCGTTTAATTATGGAGTTTAGAAACATACAACTAAATGTCTTTTTTTTATTTCTATGCTAATACGAGTTTAACAGGATGATAGATTTCACCCTAAAATTGCACCTCAGAATCTAATTCATATTCAATTGTATAGCTGAGTACTGACGGCACGAATACGTGCGTATGTAGGTCACAGCAACCTTCTGTAGCTATTTGTCACTAACGATCTCCACGATAACCGTCTGTCGCTCGACATAAGTGCAAGTAAGCGGGGGTTCATGATTGATTCATCAATCATGAAGACTCACTTCACAAAGCGTGGGGGAGCGGGTACTGTCAACATTAGGGGCGGTTTGTCCAGATAAAACAACGCTTTGAGTTCAGGCTCTATAAACTTATGTTTACAATAGAGAAAAAGACATTGGAAAGGTAAAACTTATTATAAAGTTTCTATTCATTTCTAAAATATAGATCATAATAGCGATCCGCTCTAGACCACCAACAGATAGGTAAAAATATAAATAAGTATTATAAGGCAAATTTTTGATAGTGTTGCATTATTATAATTTTCATAGGGCTCTAATTTTTTTCAAAATTATATATGAGTATCTTATATTTACTCATTGAAAATTTTCAACAGGCGAAAGAATTTTTCAAATCGGTTGAGCAATTTTTAAGTTTATCCATTTCAAATAAACAGACTTTTTTTTCCTTTTTATAATATTACTATAAATATTAGGTATAAAACTTTTTTTCGTTAACTTATGACTTAATCAAATAAAATTAATCGTTATGAAATTTAAGATACAAGTGTTTTTTTATTTCCACGGACTAAGTTGTGGTCTAATATAATATAGGAATAGCATATAGAAATAGCTCTACATTGAAGGGTAATTTTTAAAGCATGTGATTAATCATTGATTGTATACTTTTTGTAGATACAAAACAACAGTGTGAATTGTATTATTTCATACATAATTATTTAAACATGAATTGAAATATCAGTAAAAATTTTTTTGTCGGTTACAAGTCATATTTATCAGAAATCTTATCCCACATATCCAAAGGAGGAAGGAAAAGAAAAAGAAGAAACTTTTGTAATAGTGTCACAACTACACTAGAACTCACTCTCGTTTTATATTTAATAGGAAAACTTTAACAGCCACTTGGCTACGATCTTGTGAACAAATGTTGCAATGTAAACTTAAAAAATAGACGCCATAACAAGGGTAAACTTTTGTTATTAATCCACGAAGCAGTAATGAAAAAAATAAACAGTAGGGCGACCCGTGGTTTTTCTGAAAAAATGCGGTTTCTTGGGTAAATGAAATTTGAATAATTTATATTAAATATGTAGATACATATTTACCTAGTTAACAAGAAATCTGGGTAATGTGTATTGAATAATAATATAATAATTTATATATAAATACTTACATTTAAGTTTAATAACATTTTTTTAGTTTTTATCATTTATTTAAGTACCTATATTATTATAAATGCGATAGTTTGTAATGATGAATGGATGAGTGGATGGATGAATATTTGTAACTTTATCACACTATTTTATACACACGAACGGAGCCGCGTCATGTAGCTAGCGTAATAGTGGTTACCCCTAGTGTTAGAGGCGTCCTTAGGCTACAGTGACCGTTTACCATCAGACGGGAAAAAGATCCTATCTTGTTTCACAAAAACAAACTAAACTAATATGGAACTAACATGGGAGTAAATTATCGAGAATATTCGAAGCCCGTATAGATAGTGTCACGTAAAATATACACAAAAAATACAGTCGAATCTGGAACTCAGCCTTTATGAAGTGGATTAAAAGTATCACTATAACATAAAAATAAAAAATAAAAACTCACGACTGTAACACCTAATGGAATAGTCAGAAACATCTGGGGCATCGCTACAATATATATGTATTTTAATAAATTATTAACGATCATTGTAGACATACGAAGTACGAATAAAATAAACAAACACTGCCCGACTATCGACAAGAATATAAAGAATATTTTATGTTCATTCCATTCTGAACGGTAAAAATATCTATCATCAATCATCCGTACAGAGTTGGCATTCTGTGAATACAGAAATGTTAAATTATATACATACATACCTACTCACTGCTATTTACTTAATTGCATATTATGTATATACAGACATACATATCTGTCACGGTTGTTTATCTATATCTATACTAATATTATAAAGAGGAAATATTTGATTGTTTGTTTGTTGGTTTATTTGCAAAAAACTAGTGTGTTACATCTATTTAACTATTTATTAAGTTTACTTACCAAAAGGTATAGAAAAGGTTGGATTAGCGATAAGATCGCCTTTCGTAGTGACAAATGCTTTAATTTTTTTCTCTTTATGTAGTTATATTATCAAAAAGTAGGGACTTTATTTATCAGTATTGGTGTAATTAAATGTTTTTAGACATACTCATATATTATTAAATATATTCGGATTTCATCAGTTATATCGTGAACATGACTCTTGCGACACAATCAAAATATGGAGGCGCTCAAAACAAATAAATAATAGTTTTTTTAATGGGTAAAAAAGTATTAGTGACCCCGCCTACGCTATCAGTATACACTGACGGGGCATCAGTAAGGGATTATAGATCAAAATGAAGTACGTCAGTTGGCCCGTTGTGACGAATACAAGAATTATAAACCACGAGATTTTCCAGGGAGCAAAAAGGCAGTTAAATCTCATTACTGTCCATTTATATATATTAATTAAACTACATATATTAATTGTAAAAGTCGCATATTAAGTGTGGAGAATACAATGAGAATAAAAAATTGTATAGATTTTTAAAGTAAAAACTTCTTTAGGTGCGGCAAACGATGTTTGGAAGTTAGATGAATGTACTTACTCAGCCTCTTCAATGGTCTCCGACATGGCGAGGAAGACACAGTTGAGCAGTATGGTTGCCATGACGAAGTAATCGAAGTACTGATTGGTGGAGAGGTAGACGCATGCGCGCCGCACCGGCGACCACGGCGACCACCAGAACAACGACCTGGTTGCCGTGAATCGGTGAATGTAGTTCTTGCGGAACCGCTTCGAGACCACGCAGAATGTCTGAAAAGAGACAAAAAAATTATTGCATTTGTTAAAACACAAAGAAAAGAAGAAAGAATTTATTCACAGAAATACACATAATATATACAATATAATGAGGGATGTCTTTTAACCAAGACTGTTTAGGATACATGATCAACACGGAATTCTGTCATACGGAATTAAAAAATAATATGTTATATCAATTGAGATAGATGTGTAAATAAATCATTAATGATAGATAAAGATAGCTATTTAATCATATAACTAATACCAGCAAAATATCTTGAAAACAATTTTATATCATATATAGTGACTTGTTGTACAATGGGCAACCTAGCAAATTTTACTATAAAGAATATAATCGCAGTAATCACTGAGTTAATTAGGAATCGGACTTCGCCTATATTAACGAACTATGAAAATAAATACGATATTAACACAATATACTATATTTATAGTATTATACAACCATTCGTAATTTTACGTCTATCTAAAATATCTATATCAACGAGTATCATAAAAAATTAGCTACTTTGTAGTGTAAAATTTTCAAGTTCAATGAACTGGTTGCATAGGCTACATACGAACTTTTTTTTGTTTGTAGTGACGCGGACCTGCTCATGTTGTTGGCAGCAAACTGTAAAAGCGCGGGAAATGCTATAAAGTAAATAGTTTTATATTATATATAACATTAAAAGGCAACGGAACAAAATGATAGTGCCCGATTTATGTTGGCATTTTATATAAAAAAAGGAAACATACTTTTTATTAAACAATTTTTTTACGGACTCTTATATTTGTAATTATGATAACTGTAAATAAGTTTCAAGCAATTTAACTTTCTAAATTAACAATATTCATAGTAGTAATTTTAATTAGTTTGTCAATTATGTTCATATTATTTATGTTCTGCAAAGCTAATTATTTCAGGCCGTTTGTAGGGAAATTAATTTCGGCGTAACGAAATAAATTTGACTAATAGAATTGCAGTTGCGTACAAATTGCCATGTTTTGTTCCACTTTCTCTAACTTGCAGCATATTTTTCCTACTTGTTAGTGAGTGTTGTTCCAATAATAAATATCGTTGTTGTTAACAACACAAAAGATTTATATGTTATGTGTTTATTTATATTTCCGTTATTGTCGTATTGAGTTTGCGAATAAATAGTTTTGTGACATACCTTGTTAGATCTCTTTGATAATTTGTATACAACTTTGAAGGATATGCTAACGGCTCATTTGATATAAATTAGCAACAATCGCCTTCAGTGGTACCCGCCAGCATATATAAATAGCGTAGGCGGGGTCATCATTCCATTTTTATCCAAGAAAAAAATTGTATCCTAATGGTTGTCATAATGTTGTCTAGTATAGTAATAATCTTTATTCAAATATACTTGTTTACAAGCTCTTTTAAAGTGTCAATTTTTTATGATTCTAATGCGGGGTTCGAAATATTATCTACTGAGAAGAACCCGTAAGACACTCAACAGTTACCCTTTTGAAATTATTATGTACCTATATATGTATGTATGTTTAATACATGATAATTTTGCATTTGCATACTAACTACAATTAGTATTAAGTTCTATTTATATGTATTATTAAATGGAAAATATAAATTTTGTAATGATTGGACAAGCTATTCTATTTCAGAAATTTTAAATGCCTGTAAGTTTCTATCAAATAAATGTTCATTTTTTTAAACTAGTTAACAACAAGCAGTTTAAGTTTCGTAAAAAAAAAACGGCGGTTTTAATTAATATTAATACAGAATCAATACGGTAGCAATTGTACCCATTATAAATAAAAAAAAAATCAGTTCACATTTGACGCAACGTCGTCGTCGCTTGACTCATATCAAAAAAAAAATACAAACACATTGAGAATCTCTTTTTAGAAGTCTCTCGAAAATGTCTCACTGACTCGTTAAAATATAATTATTGGATTTTCACCTCCATGGGATATTCATGGGAAAGTTTTATCGTGATGATGTATCTGTTAAAATATTTAAAACGGTTTTCATATTCGCACCCACCTGTTGGAGTGACGCCGGATATTGTATGGACCCCTATCATTTTATTCATAAACATTATACCTACAAAAGTTTCGAAGTTTAGAACTAATCTCGTGCTACGCTGCCGCTGTTGTATGCAAGGAGTTTGATTTAATCATATTTTAACTGCCTTTGAACGCTTCGTTTCACTATTAATGAACCCTGTTATATTTAGAGTATAGTCGATTTGCCACTATGATTTAGTTGTTTCGTTCATTCATTCATATCAATCGTAAACTGTTCACTGTTGAACATAGGTCTTCTCTATAAGGGGCCTTGTTGTTGCCATGCTTGGCAGGCAGATTAGTAATCGCAGTTTGGTTTTGGTGATGTTTTAAGAGGGATGCTGCTGGCCATCCTTCGACCAGTTAATTTCCCTTAGTCGCCTCTTATGACACTCATAGAAAAGGAAGAGGTCGCCTATTCTGTACCGAAATTACACGACAATGGCGTAGTATATAAGAGATATTTAAGAAAAAATAATTTAAGGGATCTTTATAAGACTAATAGATGCCAAAACAATATTTTTTTATAATTTTGTATATCGTATGTTTATTTCAGTATTATGCAAAAACTATTGCACTAAATTAGTTATGGTTTATACAGATGTATTCATGAAGGATAAGCAAGCTGAAGTGGCAATGGGCTGATCTCATAGCTAGAAGAACCGACAACCGATGGGGAAGAAAAGTTCTTGAGTGGCGACCGCGTACGGGTAAACGCAGTGTAGGACGACCCCCCACTAGATGGAGTGATGACCTGTAATGTATGCAGGGAGTCAGTGGATGCAGGTGACTCAGGACCGTTTTTATGGCAGTCTATGGGGGAGGCTTATGTCCTGCAGTGGACGGATGATGACTGAAACGATGATGATTCATGAAGGTCTAACTTAAAAACTGGTTTATCTTTAATCTTAATATGTCATTTACAAGTGGCCTATTTTATTAATTTTCCTACTCTTGAACTCCACGCGTTAAATGTAGTAGGCAGAGGACTAGTATGAACTAAAAATATACATGGCCAATCGTGTTCTGGAAACAACATGCGTACACAGAACTTGTGTACTAAGCTAATTGCTAACAAAGGAAAATAGCACGATTGCAATTAGAGTTAATTAGATCCGTGACAGCATAACTCCGAGGGATGATAAACTACAAAGTTAGGGAATTAGAACTGAACAGCGCTTGCTACGACGTCTGGGGAATATCTCCTTGGGTACGCAGTATATTATTATAATACTTTGCATACAAACATGATACTTTTATGTCTTTATTAATAAATACTAATATTATAAAGACGAAAGATTTGATTTATTTTATATGTTTGCTTATTTGTATTGGATAAACTTAAAAACAGCTTAAACAATTTTTAAAAATTCTTTTACTTATAGTAAGCTATATTAGTAATATACGCATACTCGTATATTATTTTCTTCCTATCTGTGCAAAGCCGAGACGGGTCACAAGTAATGCGAAAGGGGGTTTGTTTATTACCTCTTAGCGTGTTAACAGTTTAACAAATCAACATGAAACAGTGGTACAAACGTATTATATGGGATGGAGAAGGACATAGACTGTCTCAATTACGCAGCCAAAGTCGCGGGTATATACCTACTAGTAATTATACTGTAATATTCTGTCTATGTTACAAACGTATCCTATTATTATTAATCTCACTGAGGTGGCGCCCTCTTGGTTGCCTGCCATTGTATAAGGTTGCTGATGTGGCTTATTGAATGACTATAATGGTTATACATACGAGCATAATGTATCTTTTAAATTACAAAAATATATGTAATTATTACAGATTACGAGTACAAAGGCTGGAACATATATTGTATGAAGTATTACTAGTATTTTAGAAATGACTGTTGCTTAATAACAGTTGACTGTTTTAGATTCGGTTGAGTCTAGAAAGCCATTGGAGATTATTCGTTGGTTTTGCGGCGGTATGCTAAACTTTTGAATTTATTTCGTAAACTTTAAAGTTTAGCAAAATATCTTTAAAACAGTATAGTTTACGCGAAACTATGTGCTCTAGAGAATAAGTATATTTTGAAAAATGTGGTTGGATCAAAAAAATATCAGGACTTAAACACTCTAAGAGCTTTTATCATCGTTTCGATATGAGACAAGCCACGTTTTCTTTCATCATGTACATTGCAATAATATAATAAACAGATAAATAGATGAAAAAAACGACTGTTTTAAATCTGTTTTTCGATTTATTCATTGCCACTTTGAGTTAAATTGGAAAAGCACAGTTTGGGAACATTTGTGTAAACAAAATGGCTCGCGGTGCCACTCGTAATGTAAACATTCGTTTGCGTTAGGTCAGGATTACGTACTATTTTTAGTATAGTATTCCGGTCATGTGCCCCACTGATTGTAAAAGGTTACATTAAAGTATGGACACAGAAGCAAATTGTCCTACGGTATTCATGTAAAACCGTCGTGTCGTAAATTTTGTAACACAAACCTGAAAAGCTATTACAAAATTACATTCGTAGGTCTCCCCTTAAAAATAGTTTCGAAATAGTTTTAGCGTCCGTTGACAAGTAGTCCGAACCCCTTGCGGGTTGTAAAACTATGGAAACTTTGTGGTCCATGGCATCTGTGAGACTGCGCGGTACAGTTATAACTTTTAATATTAAAGTTATTTCTCTATGTAACTAACGTAAATATATTGTATGTAATTATTTAATTTTCAATATCCTAAGTATTTTATTTACACAATGTTTTTTTCTTTATTTAAATATAAATAAATTTAGGCACATAACCATAGGCTATAGTGACCGTTTACCATCAGATAGGCTGTATGTTTATTTACCACCTTGGTGGTATAAAAAAATATTAATAAAAATACTAATACGATAATATTTAAAAAAATATATTTTTTATATTGTATAACTTTTGATTTTTTAATTATATTAAGAAACTCGTAATTTAATTAAGTTTAACTT